CCACAGTGCCACTTCTGGTTTTCTAGTGATTGTAGATAAGAGTCTCACGGCTTTTCCTGCCCAGGCTGGCTTTGAACTGTGATCCTCATATCTCAGCCTCCTGAGTAGCTAAGATTATTTGCCTCCAACTCTGTCCCTCCTCACCATAGCTGGGATAGCCAGGGAGTGCCATTATATCCAGCTTATTCCTTCCTGACCAGAGCCTGCTTCAGTTTTGCCATAGAATGTATCCTCTTTTACAGTCTATCTAGTTCACTTCATTTAGGTTTAGTAGAACAGTGAACATAAGTTATATAACATTTTATGTTTGAATAAAAATGGAGTTTGATTAGCTTTTGCTGCTTTCAACTTGTATACTCTCAGAGATAATTGATTTCTAAAGCAAAATAGTATTTTGTCTTTTTCTTTCCTACCAGTTTGCAGTGCTACAAAGAAAGATTTAATGTCGTTAATTAAAAGACCTTGTCCATTGATTTTAAGGGATGGATATTTTCATACTAAGATGTATTTAATTGTACATTTTGATATAAAACCATCATGTATTAGTATATCTCATTTTACATGCTCTCCCTCCAATTTACAGAGTGGACAATCAGTTGCCCTTCTTTGTTCAAAGCTTCCAGGTGGACCCTCTTGGATCCTTGTTAGCCTGGCTGGAGTTAACTTATCTTTCTTCACGTAGTTATTCCATATGTGGAGTGAGAAAGAACTTAGGTAAAGAGGTTTTGTTTGTTTTGGCAGTCCTGGGGTTTAGATTCAGGGCCTCATACTTGCTAGGCAGGTGCTCTGCTACTTAAACCATACTTCTAGCCCGTTTTGCTTGCTTGCTTGCTTCCTCTTTACCCCAGAACCTTCAATTCTACTGTGCCTTCTAAGTAGTTAGGATTTAGGATTACAGACATTTATGATCATGCCCCCTGGGTTCTATCTTCCTCTATCACCATTCTCCCCTTCCCTCAAAGGAATAAGGGTATATACCCCTTCCTATCCCCTGTCCTGTGCATTTTGATGGTGAAGTGGAAAAGTCTTATCATAGAACTCAAGTTATAAACCATAGCTGCTTGTAAAAATGGCCCCTATTAAGGTGTCTCCTCTACCCCATTTTATGACAGCCAGAAGGGTATCTGAAACTAGTCAGATTTCAGTGCTAGACCTTTTTTTTTTTTTAATGAGTTTGCTTCTGCTGGTCAGAGCCCCAAAATAGTAATTGGTATCAGCTGCATTATTAAATCATTCAAGTAAAAGCTAGCAGCTGCCCCATCATTAGAGAAAATGAGGAGGGGAGCCTTTCTTTTTTTCCCCAAAAGGACTCTTCCCCCTTTTAAATTACCTTTCAGGGTTTTCTTTTCTTGTTGTAGCAGAAAGAGTATAAATGGTATATAGTTTGGGCTCTTGACTAAACACATGGGACATACCAATTCCTGCATGTTGTTTTGCCAAACCAACTTTTTTGTCCTATGTAGGACTTGTTATAACATTTTAGTGCTAGTCTGTTTACTATTGTATATTCTGTTAAAATGAGGTATTGTTTTGTTTTGGTGGTAGCATATCTGTATTAAATGTTAGAGAAACTTTGAAGTTGGTTCATTATTTCTCTATTCTAAAGACAGCACAAAATACCATATAATAAGCAATAGTCAGTCATAATTAGGGTTTTTGTTTATAATTGGCTCAAAGCCAATGGCAAACTCTATATTTCTGGTGCTTCCTCCCCCCCACCCCCAAGAGCGACCATTCACAATTAGATAGTAAATGACAATTGGTGGTACTCAATGCCTTTATTTTATAAGATGTGTAATATTCATCTATTGTAAAATCATAAAAGCAAGAGAGGTAATTTGTTCAAAGCATGTCTGTACTTTATCCTAAAACAGTAATTTTGAGAGAGTATGATTTCCTCTCTCTCTCTTTTTTTTTTAAATTCAGTGTGCTTCAGGATTTTACATAAGACCTGATAAATGATTTGGCAAATAACGTTTATCTGATAACTGTTTCTAAGTGATATCTCAATTATATTTGGTGTGCAGTTGTAGATTTGGCTGTATTTAAGTTGTTCTTATATTTCATTTATTCTAAGTTGCAGCCCAGTTTTGAAGTTGTTACAGTGTGAGTTGCAGTTGATGATGCATGCTAGTTTTAGTTATGTCTTTTCCAGAAGCATTTTGAATTTAGCAAAAGCAATGTGCCATGATAATCTGCCATCCAAATTCACAGATGTGCATATTCAGTGCTTGGCACACCAGTGAATAGTAATAAATTTAAGCCTTTAAGAACTTCACAAGGTATGTTTGCATTTTAACTCAGTGGACTATGAAAACATCAAGTGCCTATAGAAGCTCTTGACTCTTAAAGAAGAAGATAGATCCTAGAAGACTTTGGTTGTATTGCTAAAAGGGAAAAAAACTAAAACTAATAGAAATATGTCATGAATCTCAGTTATTGCTCTGGAAGCTTTATTACAGGAAAATCTTACTTCTGTCAGCAAGTGAAATCTGTGGTCAAGTGTGGTGGGAACAGTGAGCTGGGAATAACTTAAGCAGTATGAGGAGTAGAAAAAGGTGCAGAGGTTAAGGGCTGGATAAAATAAGACTGTGTAATCTGCTATGGGAAGTGATTGTCTCACTAATCTAGCTACAAAAAATTAAAATTAAGTTTGACCCTTCTCCTTTTCTCTGTTATTCAATAGTTCTTTTTGTTTTGGTGTACTCTTTATCAAATTCCTGTTTTTTGGGGGGTGGAGGGGTTGGACAAAAGTAGAAAGTAAAAGCTTTATGAATTACCTGACTGAAGTGGAATGTTTGGCTTTTTGAGACAAGGCACAGGTTTAACAGAGGGCCATGTCCCAAGAGGAACACCATGTACCATCCATGAACTGACAGACCTCCCTTGCCAGCAAGCCCATTACCACCCCACTGTATGTTGTTCTGTGCATATGAATGAGAGTGTGTGGAAAGAATATAAATGAAGCTTTTGATGAGTTGAGTTTTATAGTTTTGTTTGGGGCCTGCTTATTCTTGCTTTATATTAATAAAAATTGCCACCCCTTTTCTGTTTTAGCAAAAAGTTCATTGAAAAAAAATGTTAAGTAAAAGTATGTTTTTCCATACTAGCCTGGCTAAAAGCTGTTTTCATTTAGCTTATATGATTCCCTTAGTTATTTAGTACCTCATTTTTCACTGCTACTTTTGGCATGGCCACTTGTAAATCACAGGCTGAAGTGACATATCACCTTTGGTGTGATTTTCTTATATAGAGAGCTTGGATGAGAATCATTGTATAGATTCTACTTACCCATGTAACTCCTGCTATATTTGCAGTTATCATCATAGTATCAAGGCAACTGTGTCTGAGGCATATACTATTGTCTCTAATATTTATATTTCTAATATGATTGAATTTATATCACTAATACATTGGTAATTATACCAGGCAGAAGGGGTGCAACCTTGAGAATTTAGGATGACTACGTTCTTGTTATGCATTTGGTTTGTTAAAACAGTAATGTACAACTGAAATTTGTATTTAATTATTTTTTTCTTTTTCATGTTGTCTCATATTTAATATCTAATCAGGCTTAGCTTTTATCTTAAAGTATAGTATTAATAAGCCAAACATCTTTATAAGGATTTAAGAGCGTTCTAGGTGATGGTAGGCCAGAGTAGTAGGCATCTTCAAAATTGTGTGGGTATGTGTCTAATAGTCTCTCTCTTGCTCTTAAACTGGACATGCATACCTACACTACTTATAATCCCCAACTCTTCTCTAAAGAGGGAAGAACATTAGTTGATGGTAGTTGAGTCTTCCAGTGCAGAAATAACAAGGAAGTTTTAGGGGAGCCAGTGATTTCTTTTTGGTCATATGTACAAGCATAAGGAATTCCAAAGATGTCAGATTTATCCCCAAGATTTTACACTGTAGTTTTCTACCCAGAGTTGATTTTATCTTTTCCCACACATTCTTCTTTCTCATATTAATTCTGTTTTCCCCCCATATTTTCGTGCTACCTGCAAATCTTCATTAACTTGCCTGTTTGCAGGAAGTTTTTGCATACAAAGGGAACAGAATGCATATACTAACCGGTGCAGTTTATTCCCCAAGTATGTGAGAAAGAAAAGCAGAGGCTGTAATCATCTCAGGCCTCATCATTCACAAGGGCAACTTACATTTTCATTTTCCACTTGTGTGTCTTCATCTTTTTCCTTCATTTTCTCACCTTGCATCTTTTCACACAAATTTTAGTCATCCTATATAAAACAAGAGGCCAGGGGGGAAAGCCAAGTCTGAAACCACCTGCTTAATGGTTTGCCTTTTTTTTTGTGTGTGGGGGGGTGGTGAGGGGTGGTGAGGGCAGTACTAGGGCTTGTACTCTGGATGGACCTATGCACTGTCTTAGCTTTTTTGCTCAAGAATGGCATTCTATCAGCTTGAGTCACAGCTCTACCACTTGCTCTGTTTTAGTGGTTAGTTGGTTTTTGTTTCCTGGGCCTTCTGTTCTCACCTCTTGGTCTCATGGATTTTCATTGGGCCTGCTACTAAGGTCTGCACTGCCCCCTGAAGCCATTTATTTGATCATCTACCATCCCTTTGCAATTGTTTTCTGGCCTTAAGTGGGCTAGATGATTTGTGTTCACAAATGTTTTCTAGGAAGAACACATCTTTTCCTGTGATTAGTTGAAATAGGATACCTGTTACAGTTACCTTTTTTCAACAGACTGCAGTACAGAGAGATGGGTTGAATGGAGGAGCCTGCTGGAATGCTACTCACTGTTCATCCTGCAGTTTCCTACACTTTTCTCTACTTTTCACTTTTTTTCCCCACAATCTTGGTCACATTCCAGAGGGTAGACCCCTGAAGATTAAGCCACTATAAGCATTCCTTACTGGTATAGGAACTGGATCTTTCTTTTGTTATTCTATGGGTGGGTGGAGGAAGCGGTGGTGAGAATAGAACTTTGTTCATCATTCAAAAACTATGTATTTTATTCTTTGGTTTTTCTAAGGATGAAGAGGAAGAAATCAAACTGGAGATAAATATGCTGAAGAAATATTCTCATCATAGAAATATTGCAACATATTATGGTGCTTTCATTAAAAAGAGCCCTCCAGGACATGATGACCAACTCTGGGTATGAGGCTATTTCTGAGTGTTTTATGGCTGTTCTTTTGTGATTGTTTTATAGGGACAATAAGGACTTTACAAGGGACAAGAGAGAAAAGCAAAGATACAGAAACGGGTAGATTCTAAAAGTTTTCTTGACGAAATGTATTGTTGAAAATGTTTCTTCTGATGTTGAATTTATATTGCTTGGAAAAAAGCTAGCTTATTTTTTAGGAATAAAATGGCATATTTGAGAAAGTATATAAGATGGCATATTCTAGAAAGGATATAGCCAGATAGCAATGAGTTTGGGAACTGAAAGCAATACAACAAAAACTTTACAGGAACGGATTAAGATGAAGTTCCACAATTTCTTTTTTTAAAAATCCCCTGAAAGTAAGAGACAGAGCTCAAGAATACAAAGTTTTGTCAGTCAGTTGATAGTAATAGTAGTAATTGCTTAAAAACACTAAATTCCAGGAAAATTTCTGGAGTTGTCACACCTACCCTGATCTGGTTTTAAGTGCATTTATTATTAAGATGATGACCCTGAGAGATTATCAGTGTGTATGTACATTAGTTCAAAGTATTGAACTTGTAAAATAGGAATATAGATTTATACTTTTCCTAGTGATTCTAAAAGGTCAATGTAGAAAATGTATAAAAAATTAAGAAAATAAAGGGGGGGGGAAATGTTATGTTGGTTATGTAAATACATCATAGTTAAAAATTTAGAATAGCCCAGTTCAGTTCAAATTTTAGGTACTTTAAAAGTATATATAGTTGGGGTCATGTTCTTTAAACATTTGGATATTGTAAAACAATTTTTAAATCCAGTAACTTAAAAATAGCACATTGCTTTTTAACTTTTTAAAATTAAACCCACATGGAGGGATGTAATATGTGAAAAGTGGAACATCTTTGGGGAAAATTAAAAAGGATATAGGAACATTTGAATCAGATTTCTGATAGTTGTCAATAATGAAGAGCAAATAGTCTATGTGCTTAGGAAAGCAAAGGAACAGTTCAATGCCATTGAACTGTTGTACACTGCAAAGCATTAGACATTGTCGAACTATGAGTATACAGTGAAAACTGAGCTGCAAAACAAGCTTTCTTTATGTGGAGATCTCCAAAATAATCACACATGCAATCAGTATTCTGGAAGGGCAGCAGTGCAATGCAATGAAACTGCATTTTCTAACTTTTTCTTGGGCATGTGCTGAAACCTGGGATGTGTTAAGTCACAGTGTGTCCTGTCTGCCCTGTAGCTTGTTATGGAGTTCTGTGGAGCTGGGTCCATCACAGATCTTGTGAAGAATACCAAAGGGAATACACTCAAAGAAGACTGGATTGCTTACATCTCCAGAGAAATCCTGAGGGTAAGGAAAACAGGGGCTGTGTGCCTACCGTGTGATCTTTTGCTTTAACGTGAATTTTCATAGCCCCAAGTATTTTGTGTCATCAGTTGTATCTACAGATAGCCAGGGGCACTTAAATAGTTTTGGTAGTTCATGCTACATCATAGTTTCAGTCTAATCTGTGGAATAAAAGCAATCAAAAAATTTCCTCCATATTAAATATGTACAGACTTTTTTGTGATTATTTCCTAAATAGTACAGAATAAACATTTATATAGCATTTATGTTGTATTCTCTATTCAAAGTCATCTAGAGTTAACTACCTGGAGAGAATATCAGATCTCTCCTTATCACATTAGTAATGGTGAAAGTACTGAACTTGTAAAGCAGCATACAGGAGAATATGTGTAGGTTTTATGGGAATACTATGGCATTTTATATAAGGAACTTGAGCATTCTCAGATTTTGGTATAGGGGACCATTGGAGATATTCAGGAACAAATCCTCTTCAGATACCTAGGGACAAATGTACTTTTTTGTTTTTCTCTGAATTTCTCTACCAATTGACAGCATTTCTTTGGAGTTTAAAATAAAATCAGAGAAAAGGGGAAGAGAATCTCAAACTGTTGTTTTTGTAAGAATCATGTGTGTTCCCAAATCAGTGTTGATGGTGCTGAGTATAGAGTTTTTAAATCATTTCATGGATTTCGGCATTATCTGTTAGAATCTCTTGCAGTATTTATCTAATGAGCTCAGAATAAGTTTCTGAATTGCTATTGTTAGACTTATTTTAGATGGTTTCTCTCAATAGTAAAGTCAGCTCAACACAAACAGGCAGTGTTTTAGGATTTCATATTAAAAGCAGCATGTGAGTTACTAGGTTTCTTTTAGTCTCCTAGCCACCAGTTTTTCTATTTACCCCTACATTTCATATTCATTTACCCACCATTTAAAAAATAGCTACAGAGTTAAACTGAAATCTCATTCTGCTCTTCTCACTAATAAACATGTCTTATAACTAGTTGTTTTTTATTTATAGGTAAAGCTACCCACTTTTTATATGTAAGTTGTTCAGTTTATTTAAAATATTTGGTGAAGCCTTTGAGAACAGATCATTCCCTGAACAAGAATTGTATAAAATGACAGTATAGGCAGATGTTATCATTAAAATATTACTCTTTTCTCAAACGAGGACAGTGATTAAAATTCAGCAAATAATAGGCAACATGGGACAGTAAAAGGTAGACACTAGAATTAGCCAGACCTGGATTTGAGTCGTGCCTATGCTATTCATCTCTTGCATGCTGTCATTTCGCTTTCAGGACTCATTTTTCCTGTCTGTATGCTCTATGTTAATACCATTATTAAAAGAATTAAATGAGTGCACATAAATCAGTGTTTCATGTATATGGTTAATACTCAGTAAGTTTTAGTTTTACACACACACACACACACACACACACACACGCTGGAATAAACCAGTAATTATTTTTCCCCTCCCCAGTTCTTTCTCTTCTTTCTTTCTTCCCCTTGTCTTTCTGTTCATCTGTCCCTCTTTTTATTTAGTGTCTGTGTGCGTGTGTAACAGTTCTAAGCCTTAAACTCTGGGACTGGGCACTGTCCTGAGCTTTTTTATTCAAGGTTAGCACTCTACCACTTGAGCCACAGCACCACTTTGGCTTTTTGGTAGTTAATTGGAGATAAAAGTCTTCTTGCCTAGGCTGGCTTTGAATTGCGATCCTGAGATCTCAGCCTTTCTGAATAACTAGGTTTCAGGCATGAGATACCAGAGCCCAGCTATTTGTTTTGGTGGTTTTACTATGTAGCTCAGGCTGCAGTTGAATTTGAGACACTTCTGCACCATCTCCCTAGTGCTAAGATTGCAGGCATTTGCCAACTATGCCCAGAAAGCATGAGATTTCTTAAGCAGAGAATTATCCTAGGCATCAAATGTATTTTAGTCTTTAAAGATAATATTTAACCATTTTATTGCTATCAACCTCAGGGAACAGGGAAGCCTCAGTTGTTGGTGGCTTCTAATCAGCTTGAGTGTAGTGAGTAAGTGGACATCTCTTTGAAAGGCTGCAAATCCTTTTCACCTCAAATGAGCCAAATGGGCAAATGAACTAAGAGCCTTCTTCACCTACTTGACATAGAGTGGGGGTTTAAATTAACTATAGGCAAAATGCCCCAGGAAGATTTAGTGTAGTCTCTGATGGTATGTGTTCCTTAAAGGAGTTAGTAAAAGTTGGTTACTAAGGAAGGTGAGGTAAAGTTTTATGGAAAAGGAAGACAGACACTCCTAAACAGATAACCTGAATTCTCCCAGATGTGGTTAAGGTAGTAGCTAATTTTGATAGTGGAAAAACTTTTTATTATTCCTTAGTGTGCTGTGAGTTTAATATACTATTTCGAGGTTTTCTGAAGGAAAGGGTCATAAGTTTGTATTGATAGCAGAAGTCCTCTCTTGGACTAGTCTATTAAAACTGTCCGGACCTGCAAAGCCAGTATGTTCCTTCCAGCCCACTGTACATTCATTCCTCTTCTCTGCAGCAAAGGTAACATATCATACTAAGGATGGGCATGTACAGCTTTCCATAACCAATTCTGAGGGACAGGTTGTAGGCTGTGTCTTTGTCTTTATACTCTCAAATGAGATACAGTTACAGGAAAAGTACTTCCTAATTTTGAAGCAGTGATTAATTTGTTTGAGAATGAGCTATTTATTTAATATTTGGACATGGCATATTTGCTAATGAGAAGTAATTGTGGCCTAATTCTGGCTTGGGAATATATATACTCCTAGGTAATTCATACAGCAAAATTATTAGTTCTTCTCAGTAATATAACTGAGGTTGTCATTACAGACTGTTAGGCACACCTCATATAGTTTTCCTGGTAGAAAACAAGCATGCTTTCATGCATGTACTGTGGCAGCTGACAAAATTACATGGATACTTAATAAGACAAACTGTAATAGCATAAAGAATGAAGTTTGTATAAGGGAACAAAATAAGAACAAAAATGAACTGAAGTTGTTAAACAAGTAGAAATTCTTTAAGAATTAGAGAAGCTTCATTTTTCTCTCTCCTTTTTGTGTTGGATATTACACCATGCTGAAAAAGGTATTATTACTTTGTTCCCAGCTGAAGCCCCAAGATGTTGTAGATTTTTAGGCTTTTTTGAGTCAGTGTGTTGTGATCTAGTTTTGCATATCCTGTGTTAGAAAGCCTAACAGTCATCAGATAACGCTATTGTATTTTATGTGATACAAAATTATCTATGATACAAAAATTTTCTAACTTCCAGAGTAGTAGAACTCATATTCTACCAAATAAACAAAAACAATGGACATTCATACCCCTCTTCCTCAAAAATTCACAAGTCTCTGGGTCTGAGTATTACATGCCTGTAATCCCATCTAACATTAGAGAGACCGAGGCAGGAGGATCATGAGTTCAAAGCCAGCCTGAGCTATACAGTGAGACCCTTTTTTTTTAAAGAACCCTTACCTATAACCTGCCATTTTGGGGTTGAGACATACTAGAATAAATCGGTTGTGCTTGTGTTTTAAGGAGTTAAGCAATAGATAGGGCTTTTCCATCCAGCTCTGGGGCAGAACAAGTTGTGAGAATGCTTCATCGAAGCTTTCCAGACCATATTTGTATGCAACATCTGTTTTTTTCTTCTGCCACCTCTTGGGCTTCCTTCCAGATACAAGTTCATCAAAAAATGCTATATGCCTGGTAGGATTTGTTTTCTTGGAAAAGAAAGGTATTTTATTTCCACACAAGGCCCTTCTGACAAGAGAATCGTTTTACACTGGGATAGAGGTGTGATTGGTCAGCATTTAGCAGTTTGCCGCTTTGCAGTGGGAAGACAAGCCAGGGCCAAAGCCAGATTGTTAAACCCTCCTTAGCCTTTTGCTTTTCCCTTGGGATGTGTCTTGCTCATATATGCCCATGGGGTCACCCATTGAAACATAGAAGTGTGGCGTGGGAAAGGAACCACCCTGTACACAAATAGCACAAATTATAGAAGAGAAATTGCAGATGGTAATCTTCAGCATGTCTCAAAGGCACAGCTAGAAAATGGCCATGTTGTTCACATGGTAGAACTTAGCCCCTGGGAATGATGGCGAGGCTTCTTTCTGTATTGATGATGTCTTCCTGGGTTCTGTGTTCTACATGTGGGTTCACAAAAACCTGTGCTCCACATGTGCATTTTGTTATAAAAAGTATGTTCCTGCTTATTGAGTTATGGGGACAAAGAACTAAATTCAAACCTATTTTTCCTCTTCAGGGGCTGGCACATCTTCACATTCATCATGTTATTCACCGGGATATCAAGGGCCAGAATGTCCTGCTAACTGAGAACGCAGAGGTGAAACTTGGTATGTGGCTACTGTGCAGTGTAACCTAATGCTTGTCTCTGTTGCAAGCCGGCAGCACTCCTGCCCCTCTTATGTCTATGTGAAAGTACCTTCTCCTACCCAGGCTTTCTATTTCTGTTGTCCTGAAGAATTCAGTGTGGAACTGACTTCCGTTGTTTAACTAGGCTCCACCCTCCCTTCTTCCATGCTTCATCCCTCTGCTGTATACATTTAGCAGCCAGACTGATTTTTATTTTTATTTTTGTGTTTGTGATGCTGGGAATGCATTCAGGACTAGTCTGTCCAGTGGAAAATTCCCCTTACCCTAAGCTAGGCAGCACTTAGGTCAGACTTGGGAAGCTGTATGAGTTCCTTACCCTGGTTTGGTGCTAGACCTTCAATAGCCTTTCTGCAGTTATGGTTGCCAATATGGTCCAAGTTGCTATGAAGCTTACTTAGGCTTACTCTGTTGACTTGGTTGTCTATTCCTCTCTGTTTCAGAGAGTATTCACCTTCTTTCCTTGTTTTCTAAACACGTTCTCTACATAAGGGTGGACTGTTTGACCCAATGAATCATCCAGCATGTTGGTAGACCCTTGCATGATCGGTTCCTACTCCTCTGCTGGGACCATAGCAGTTGTACATATAGTAATGATGTTGGCAGATACTGATGGACAAACATTTAAAAAGGTGGGCTTCCTGCCAGCCCTGTCCTCCTGCCATGACTTTTTGCTCATGAGCTTTCTTGTTGATCATCATAGTTTTCTGTCAAAAGCCAGAAGTCCAGTGTGCCTGGGGACAGAGGGTTTGTGCATTCTTGATTATATTTAGTGAAATATTGTATAAGTTCTTTTCAAGAAAACCTTATTTCTGTTATTAATATATATCTCAATTTTCTGACCTTGAGGCTTTCCCTAACTTGATTGTTTGTGGCAGGCTGGTGATCATCATTCATACAGGTGTTCTGTCACTTTTTCCCTTGTTGCTGGGATGAAGCCTGTTAGGAGCATCTAGACTAATAGAGATGTTGCTCTGGAAAAGATACTCCTTTAAAGTGCTGCTAGCCTTGGAGAATTTTGCATGTTTGGGGAGTAGAGCCATTTCTGTTTACTGTGAAGATGCTTCTTCCTTACATTTTTGCTAATTTTGTCCCACTTTCCCTTTTTTCTCTTCCTCACAGTGGATTTTGGTGTAAGTGCTCAACTAGACAGGACAGTTGGACGGAGAAATACATTCATAGGCACTCCCTATTGGATGGCTCCTGAGGTCATTGCCTGTGATGAGAACCCAGATGCCACCTATGACTACAGAGTAAGAAACACCTGCTTTACTGGGCCTTCACTGGGTCATTATCCTCTCCGTGATTTGGGGGCTTGGTTAAATGAAATGCAGTCCCTTATTTCCTACCTGTTTTTTTAGTGAGAAAGTTCTGGAACTATTTTTCCTGTGTACATTTTCCAGAACAGTGCTTACATACTAACTCTTTGTGGCCATCTGCTTTACCTATGTTTTTACTGAGGAATATATTAGCGGAACTTTTCTTCATTCATCATTTAAATGCTTCCTCCTGTTTATTGTCCATTTTAGCTTGAAGAATACATTAGAATTAAATGTTTCTTTTAAAGAATGTTGTCAAAGTATACAATAGCTTCATCTATGAACTATTACAATATTCTTGTTTAAAGAGCTTTATACCTCCAATTATGTACACAAATACATTAAAATCATTAGAGTGACCTCTAGGGACATGAATGAATAATGCATCTATCCACCTAGTGGTAAAACCCATATTTCATAACCAAACTCAATTTGATTTTGTTTTTTCTTTTCTTAAATTTTTGCCTTAACTAAATGAGCCACAGTGGCTAACGAACCTATTAATGATTCAAAATTGAGTTAATGCCTTAAGATTCTCTAATTTATCTCGGTATTTATTACAAATACTCAAGTAATGAGGCCTTACTTAAGCCAATGTTACAGAGGAATTTTTATTTTTTAATAAAGTGTTAAAAATAGATTAGAGTTGCATTCTAATAGGTATATCTAAAATTTGAAGTCTTTTCCAACATCCCAAAATATTATCACACTTAAGAACATAAAAATAATTTCTTAATGCAAAGTCTGTAATTAGATACAATTAGTTTACCGCTGATTAGTTTAAACTAGTATCCAGTGTGATATAAGATAGCATATTAGGTTGTTTGGCCATTGCATCTCATCCCTCTTTTCATAAAACTGACTTGTTAAAGAGGCTGGGTCTGTTGTAAAACTTTATGTTCTCTTCATTTGCCTGATTACTTTGTTGTCCTTAGTTTGTTTTCTGTCAGCTGGAAAGGCTCAGAAAGTATGAAGACCTGAGCAAGATAATCTCACAGGTGTTGGGGGCACTTTCTGTTTTACTGTCTTGCAGCCCACTAGTGCTTCGATGAGTGTTTCCTAGGGTGAGAGTCCCTTGCACCCCCTCTATAGCATAGAAAACGCCATAAAAATAGAGGAGAAATTTGTAGGCCTATCCTTATTTTTATATTTAAACATACAACTCAACTTTTGTAACATAATTGTAGGTTATTCAGAAATAGGTAATTTCTTGATTATAAATTTCTAGCATAGGGGCTGGGAAGGTGGCTCAGTGATAGAGCACTTGCCTTGCATGCATGAGGCCCTGGGTTCAGTTCCTCAGCACCACATAAGCACAAAAAGCTGGAAGTGGCGCTGTGGCTCAAGCAGTAGAGCATGAGCCTTGAGCTGAAGAGCTGAGGGACAGCCCCTAGGCCCAGAGTTCAAGCCCCACAACTGACCCCCCCCAAAAAAAATTCTAGCATATAAATGAAAGTGTTAATGAAAATGATACTGTGTTTTTAAAATAGCTTTTGGATTTTAAGAACTATTGGTTGATACTTTAATTTATCAATGTTTATCAAATGCCTACCAATTATAAAAGTGAATAAAATAGACCAAAATGATTGTCTTCATAGAACATGTATTTGAGAAGAGGATAAAGCTTAATGTTAAAGTTAACATTTCAGTAGAATTAGGGAAAAAGATTCCATGCATACAAAGGATGCTTGCCTGAAACACTTCCCTTGTGTGGTTTAAATGTTGAGTGCAGATGCTCAAGAGTGTCATTTGAATTATGAACTACAATTGATTTTATGAATTCAGTTGTGGATGTTTTATTTGTAGGTAAGAATGGTTTTAATTAACAAATCAGTAGAGTGAGTGATTGAGTGTGTGTGTGTGTGTGTGTGTGTGTGTGTGTGTGTGTGTTTGTGTGTGTGTGTGTGTGTGTGTGTGGTGGAAACGTGCATGCACATGCCAGTTCTGGGGCTTGAACTCAGGTCCTGGGTCCATAAGCTTTTTAACTGAAGGCTAGCACTCCTGTCACTTGAGCGACAGCTCCACTTCTGGCTTTATGCTGGTTAACTGGAGATAAGAGTCTCATGAACTTTCTTCTCAGGCTGGCTTTAAACCTGGACCCCCAGATCTCAGCCTCCTGAGTAGTTAGGATTCTAAGCATGAACCTCCAGCCCCTAGCAGTATCACTTATCATTCATTTATTCAGTTGAATATAAAAAAGTTCCTACAGATGTATTTGTGCTTTTAATTTTCTGACCACCTTCAGTTTGTTTATCTAAAGAATAGCCAGAAGTATAAATGAGTTATCAGTTTTGTAGCTAATATGATACCCATGGTATACTGTTTTATTTTTGTAGAGTGACCTTTGGTCTTGTGGCATTACAGCCATCGAGATGGCAGAAGGTGCTCCACGTAAGTAACTTTCTTTCTTAGTCCATTTGTTTTATGCAAACTAAACTAGTTCAAAGATTCAAAGAACAGCTGTATGGAGAAAGCCATTTCTAGTGGGACACTTAGATGAAGAGACCTTAGATACTGTGTGCTTTTAGATTATTTTCTACAAGTCCTTTATGAAAAAGTTTATACAAAGTATGTACAATGACCTGGTTCATAATTGCTGAATAAATATTTGTTAAATGAATAACAAAAATTTTACAGCTGATAATTGAATACCATATGTCCTCTGAGTTTCCATCTAAGGACTGAGACTTAAAGGTATTGCTTGATCCTTGGTCTGTTTTTCTTCACAATGGGAATACTATTGCAGTCTTCTCTACCCCCAATTTTCAACGGTCTTGTAATTCTCTTGAAGATTAAATAAATAACATGAAAATACCCACTGCCTGTGGCATATTAATATGGTTGTGCTGAACCTTCCTTTATTAATGAGTGATGGAAACATAGACAGTAATTACACAGAATTAAACAACTCTAGTTTACTATTCCATAGTAACAACAGGTAATACCAAGCAGTAACATTTCTGGAGGGCTTTACTGGGCTTACTTGTATTCCAAGCATAACATGAAGGCCTCCTCAAACTGTGTTTTACTAGTCCTTTTAGAACAACCCTTTAAAAACAATCATTTTTATTGTGACCTTAGAGATGGCCTAAAATCTTACCTTCTATAATATTATTGGTATTTATCTTTATTTATTTATGAAGACTTCCCAGTGGCTTTTGAAATTGGACATTATTGTTCATCTTCTTGTATTTTGATATCTTTATATGAGAAATTGAAGGTATGCCCTAGAGTTCATAGCTATTTGTATAGATTGCCCGACTGAAACGTATCAGTTGGATATTGGAACAGAGCATTTGATATTATTCATATATTAGCCCTAAATATCAACAGTGAGTAAAGTAAGTGCCATACTGACACTACTATGTCTACTCTTCCCAGCTCTCTGTGACATGCATCCAATGAGAGCACTGTTTCTCATTCCCAGAAACCCTCCCCCTCGGCTGAAGTCAAAAAAATGGTGAGCTATATTTGGATTTTTGTTGTCTCTCTCACTTCTCTCCTTCCCTTTCTTCTTCCCTCCCTTCCTCCCTCCCTCAACGTTTTTTGTTATTGTTGTTGGCTGTGGTGCTTGAACTCTGGGCCTGGGCGCTGCCCCTTAGCTCTTCAGCTCAAGACTAGCGCTCCATCACTTGAGCCACAGCACCACTTCTGGTTTTCTGGTAATTTATTGGAGATAAGAGTTTCATAAACTTTCCTGCCCAGGCTGACTTTGAATTGTGATTCTCAGATCAGAACCTCAGCCTCCTGAGTAGCTAGGATTATAGGCATGACCCACTGGTGCCGGCTTGTGATTCTTTTTTGTAGTTTTCAGTTTCTTCTTTGATAAGATTATGGCCCTGTTAGAACCAAAAAATCCTAAATCCCCTAAAAAATCAATTAAAATTGCATTTTGTTTTGTGAATTTTTTTTCTTAATAAATTCTATTTACATTACAAAATAATGGCAAGCAGCCAGGCACAACCCTATAACATGTTAAGGAGAACAGTTCCATTTTAATATTTAAGCATAATTGTAGTATGCTGCTAAATATTTTTTCCATTAAAAAGGCAGAGCCACTGGCACCCAGCTTTTTGTAATTATTTTTAAAGTAATGGGTGCTAAGTATGCCATTTTTAATTCGAGAGGAGCATAAAAACACATGGTCCCGTCTTTTCGGGTGGTTGTCACCTTGCCTTTTTTGGCTTTCCTTATTTGTCAAGTAAAATGCTGACAGTTATGGAAAGCCCTTACTGAGACCTTATGAGGTAAGCTTGTAAAGTTTCAACATTGTGGGATTAATTTTCAAGTCTGTAAAAGAGACAGACAATGTTTTGTTTATGAGCGACAGGAGGACAAGCTGGACCCTGTGGCTCATGCTTTAATACAGTTACTCATGAGGCTGAGATCTGAGGATTGAGATTTGAAGCCAGCCCAGATAGGAAACTCAGTTAGACTCTTTTGTCCAATTAACTGCCAAAAAAGCCAGAAGTAGAGCTGTGGCTAAAGTGGTGGAGCACTAGCCTTGAGCCAAAAAGCTCAGAGATAGTGCCCAGGTCCTGATTTTCTACCCTAGGACGAGAACAAAAAAAAAGGAAGAGAACAGAATATTTGCTTGTTTTTGTTTTAGTTTGTCTACTTCTTCCCTCCTATACTTCTTGCAGAGTCCTTTCCTATCAGTTGCCTGTATTTAAACTTCTGATGCATGTGGGCCTTTTCTCCTTTTTTTGTTTTCCTGGGCTCTAATGCCTCATTGATGCCTACCTACTGTGGGGTTTTTTGTTTGTTTGTTTATTCTCCTTTTTGAAACGATTCTTAGTAGTTTTCCAGTTAATATTTTTCTCCTTTAAGGTCTAATTGTCAAGCTTTTTATTCCAGATTTATTTAGTTTTTAAGCTTCTATTGTGCCCTCTTTTCTTATTGGTTGCTGGTCTTCTGATACTTACTAGTTTTCTTTCCTCCTCTTAGGTGTAAATGCATACTCATTTTTTCCATTCCAGTTGTCTTTTCTTTTCATTACCATCTAGTCTTCAATACTCTTCTTTTTCCATATTTCTTCTCCTGGTAGGGTTTCTCTCTCTCTTTTTTTTTTGGGGTCCGGTCGTGGGGCCTGAACTCTGGGCCTGGGCGCTATCCCTCAGCTCTTCAGCTCAAGGCTAGCACTCTACCACTTGAGCCACAGCACCACTTCTGGCTTTTTTTTTCTGCTTATGTGGTACTGAGGAATCGAACCCAGGGCCTCATGCATGCAAGGCAAGCGCTCTACCACTGAACCACCTTCCCAGCCCCTTTTCTCATTCTTTATATGCTGTCATCTAATTCCATTTACCAATTTTAGAAAGGTTTTTAAAAGCCACACATTTTCTCCATTTTATTTATATTTATTATTGAAACTAACATAAACCTTAACAAATGCATACTGAATATATATATATAAATAATTTTTTGAATAGAAAAAAGTAGTAGGTTTGCATGAAAATACAAGATAGTAGAAGTGATTTTTATAGGCAGTGAAGTAATGAGAAAACTAATTTTCTAAGTTATAATACTAAGAATTAACTGATTTATTCTACAAAAATTTATTAAATAATTTTTATGATGTGCTATGCTTACTGTTGGGCATGGCCAACAAATTGAAAAACAAAAACCATTCATAACCTCTGCTATTTTAAACCAATAACAGGACAGAACCAAAATATATAGTCTATTAAATGCAGACAATCCTTGATAATTTCAAAAATGTAGGACAGATAATGTCAAGAAAGTCTTACCAAAAGAGAGAATCCCAGAGCTTTGTCTTAAAAGATACGATGAAAAGTCTGTCTCTAGACTAAGGGTCCATGTACAGATCCTTATAAAGGGTGAGCACAGAGAAATGGACAGAGCTGAAATTGGCAAGTTGTATAAAGATAGATGGCAAAATCAGGATCCCTAGAACACTATCATTTCTACCTTTATATGTTAAATTTTGAGAACTGACCAGTTAGCCAGTATTAGACTGGTTTGAGTGTGAAGTTAGTAAGTTGAAATGGCCTTACATTGGATCACAAAGGTAGCTCTTTTGCTCATCTCTTTAGCTGTTCTTGTCTTTATTTATTCTTGTCTTCTAGAAACCAAACATCTATCCTCTGTCTGCCTCCCTACAAGAAAAGACCTCACTATTCCCTTGCCTCTTCCATCCCCATGATTTAGACTATTAGTGAGCAATGTTAGGTTTAAACCTAATTAAACCTGGCTTCCTTTGTAGCTCTATTTATAGTATGTTGTGAGGCTATAAACTATGCATCATCAGTGCTGCACATTTGCAGAAAGTTCACAGTAAGTGAGTTCTGAAGTTCTTTATTTTCAAGCTTGTAAGTTGCCAGTATTTTGTATATTTGCCCTTTGTAGTAGAAATTTAATAGCATTTTTCAATTCCTTTTACAGGTCAAAGAAATTTTTTAGTTTTATAGAAGGATGCCTGGTGAAGAACTACATGCAGCGACCCTCTACAGAACAGCTTTTGAAACACCCTTTTATAAGGGATCAGCCTAATGAAAGGCAAGTTAGAATCCAGCTTAAGGATCATATAGACCGGACCAGAAAGAAGAGAGGAGAGAAAGGTATAAATGTTTGTTTTTAAAAATTGTTTTATTTTCACCCTCTTAGAATGTTTCTTTCTAGGCACTTGCCAAAATAATAGGTAGTCCTTTCCCAACTGTGAGATTATACTCATTTGACCAATGCTTAGATATTTTGTCTCTGTCATCTAGTTAATGATTCAAGGGCTAGTTGGCTAGGGCTATGTGGTAGTTCAGCATGATGGGATGAGTTTCTTCTTTGCACATCTTTGGTGCCACTCCTTTGAATTCATTTTTGTTGCTTTCATGGTTTTCTTATCATGAATGTATTCTACGTTTCTATTCTGCTTAGCAACTCGGGATCTTACAGCTTTACTCTGCTCCAGGTGGTGAGCTTAGTCATTGTTCACAGAATGCTAGGACTACTTCTCTCTTATTAATGTATAATACCAAATAACCTGTTGTGCTAGTTACTGAGAGATCCTATATATTCTAGCATCTTTGTATTATATATTTACATACTATGCTCATCTACTTGAGTGTCTCTTGGGGTTTTTTTTTGTATTCCACAAGGAACATTATGTTCTTCATCACTATCTTTATAATCCAGCTTCTGAAGCTGGTGCCTCATACTGATCTTATAATAACTTCACAATAGCATTTGGATAGCTATCAGCCTATTCATGAATTTATTTTGAATCAAATTTCAAGGCCAAAGAAGACACACAGAGAAGAGCTAGTCCAGGCAGTAAGAGAGTAAGTCAAGGGTATGGGGGTGGAGTAGGGGTGTAGCTCAGTGGCAGAATACTTGCCTAGTATGCAAACCTGTCTCTCCAACCCCATACTTAACCCTGAGAGACCGTATGAATATGTGTGTCTCAAAGTCATCCTAGAGACCTGTCATGGGCTTTTTGTTGGTTACTTTGAGTTTTATACAAGTTAGATATTCAAGTTAAGTCACCATTGGTGACTAAAATAGTTGAACTTTGTATATTAAGCTGCATGATTATAACAAAGTAATTAAAGGTTAAAAATAATCTTTCCTTAACTTTTGGTTGACATAGTAGTCTTATTTTTGGAAAATATTACCTACAATTTGAACAATTTCCCCATTACTCTATCATATTAATTAGCATTTATGAACCAATGCTATGTGCCAGGTGTTTATTAGGTACAGACTATCATTTCATGTGTTCCTTACACTTGATAATTTAAAAAATGTAGGCCAGATATTGTCAAAAAAGGCTTACCAACGGAGACAATTTCAGAGCTTTGTCTTAAAAGATAGGATGAAAAGAGTGTCTAGACTAAGGGTTGAGCTGTGTACAAATTCTATTGTCTGTCCACAGCATGCACATGGAAATGGCAGGGTATCTGACCTCTGTTTCTTATCTTCAAGCCACAACAACTTAATTTCTCTTCACATTGACCTTTCACATACTCTCAACTTCTTAGTAATAATTAATAATTTACCATTCAAAATAACAATTCTTGTTTTGACAATTCCATCAGCTGTTTATGTTGGCCTTTCCCTTAGACACTGTCCTGTATGCAAATCCTAAAACTAGACAGCTTAGATTTTCTAGCATAAAGAAGAACTGATGTTATATATGTGGACTGATGAATTTTTCTTAAATCATATTTTAAGTCCTTAAGTCTTTTTATTATAGGAAAATGAATTTAATCTTGGGTATCCCTGTCAAAAAAAGAAAAATGTATTCTCTCCCTTATAAGTAGTCTGTTTATTTAAAAAAAAAAAAAGACTGGGCAGCAGTGACTCACACCTGTAATCCTAGCTACTCAGGAGGCTGAGGATCCTGGTTCGAAGTCAGCCTGGGCAGAAAAGTCCCTGTGAGACTCTTATCTCCAATTAATCACTCAAAAGCTAGTAGTGGAACTGTGGATGAAAGTGGCAGATCACTAGCCTTGAGCAAATATCGCTCAGAGTCAGGGCCCACACCTTGTGCTCAAGCCCCAGGACTGACAAAAAATAAAATCTGTTCAGTCTTTGGTTCTGACTGTTCTCTGGGTGAAATTTTTCACAAAAGGGTAGATACTGATATTGTGAAGGAAGCAATAAAATGGTCTGTTACTTCAGAAAAACAAGATAATTGAGCTGAAGAGCTGAGGGACAGCGCCCAGGCCCAGAGTTCAAGCCCCATGACTGACCAAAAAAAAAAAAAGAAAAACAAGATAAAAACTGTAGAAATGAAAATGAGTTATCTATGTTAAAATTTTTGTTTCAAGCCTAAGTAGGACAGCTTTTGTCCCATTGTTTTACTATATTAAGATCTACTTATTATACTTTTTATCCATCCAGCAGACTTTTCTGCTACTGATTCTCAATGGCTCTTTAAACAGTTTCTCTTGATTACTTTGGTTAACAGTTATTCTCTCCTTGTCTGTCTCAATTTTGGTATCAAGATAGACTTCCATGATTTGCTAATGTTCTTGGGTCACTCTCCCCTGTATGCCATGTGGAGCCTCTCACAAAAAGTCTGTCATAAAGGATTTTATTTCAACAGTGCAGTTGGCTCTTCCATGGAGAGTAGTGGCTAGACTAGAGAATTGCTACTATTTGTACTGTTTGATAAGGAAATTTGATGTCTCATCATTCTGTTCCAAGTCCTTCATACAACTTTGCAGTTTTCACAAAGAGAAATATTTTCTCCTATTAATGCTCTTGGAAATACTTGCCTATGCAGGCACGTGTCAGGATTTGTGAACTGTCCCATTTATTTCATTCTTAATTTATAGATGAAACTGAGTATGAGTATAGTGGGAGTGAAGAAGAGGAGGAGGAAGTGCCTGAACAAGAAGGAGAGCCAAGGTAAGGACAAAGCACTCCTTAGCATCCTGTTTTATGAAGAGATTAGGTTTCATTCCAATGCCAGTATTTCTAAGACTCCTGGGTAATAAAAAAGAATCTAAAACTGCTTTGAAAATGTCATATTATCTCCTATTCTTCTCTCTTCTATGAGAGTGTCCCCACTCTATACCTGACAAGAAAACTGAGGATTACATATGTGGGATATTTGGGGTTGGACAGAGGAGACTGCCTCTTGCAATCATTGCTCCAAAAGCCTTAAATGATAAGCCTTTCGCTGGGTAGTACAGTCCTAAACAAAGAATTGAAGAATTGCTCTGCTCATGGGCCATCAGGGCCTCCATTGACAAACTCTGCAGTCCCCCAAAGCATTTATTTTATTTTCATTTTTTCTCTTCCCATAAATACAGTTACCATTATTTGATTTCCTATATTAGGGTATGTTCTGTCTTTGTCCATTTTATGGTTTCTCTGGGTACTCCAAGTGACACAGATGGTTGAGGAGTTGAAATTGGTAGGATGAACCTTCTCATCATATTAATCAGAAAGTCAAGCATTTTTGGATTTTAGTGATGGATTTGCCTGATATTCAGGTTGCTATTACCCAGGACTTGAGTAATAGAACAAAAAGAGGAGAGGGGGAGACTATGTTGGGAATACTTCTGAGAACTGTGTGCCAAAGGATGGGAGTTAGAAGGGAGATAAAAAGCATTTATTAAAACATTTTTTTCTAATATAGGAAAATATTTGAATTCATTTTTAACTAAGTTTTTGACAAATTGAAACATTTCATGGGCAGTGTAACTGCTTTTGGATAAGGGCAAAATTGAATGAAAGACATTGTAAGGAGCTTGTTTGTCATACTATTCTAGACCAGGAATGCAAGGGCAAGAAACAATGCTAGCTAGTTTATCTGTGCAATGACTAATCCATGAAACCCATTGGGTCTCAGTTGCTTACCTTGACCATAAAGAAAGTGATAGGAAATACATGGTAGTACCTCGTGGTTGGCCAGATGAAGATGAAAGAACAGTAAGTACTGAAGAACACTCTGATATGTCTGTGCAGTGATGGGAAATAAAAGAATTGAATAGAGACCAATGAAATGAAAAAAGGTGACTTCAGCCTTTCATTTTACCTTATTTGAATTGATGTCAGAATCCCTTGCAAGCAAACATGCAAAACAGAATGTAAGATGTGACTGGACATGACTAAAGGAAAATACAGGGCCATTGAGTTGTAGATAGAAGTCTTCTGGTAGATATATTGGTTGGACTGGTGGATTCAGTTGCGGAGAAGTATGTGAAAGAAATGACTTAGAAAGATAGGATACTAGTGCTGCTACCTTCTCAGACAGGTCAGGGTGATGTGCATGGTTTTCTTCCTGCAGTTCCATCGTTAATGTGCCTGGTGAGTCTACTCTGCGTCGGGATTTCCTGAGGCTGCAGCAGGAGAACAAGGAACGTTCTGAGGCTCTGCGGAGACAGCAGCTACTACAGGAACAACAGCTCCGGGAGCAGGAAGAGTATAAGAGACAGCTGCTGGCAGAGAGGCAGAAAAGGATTGAGCAGCAGAAAGAGCAGAGGAGGCGACTAGAAGAGGTAGAAAAGAAAAAGTCCACATTGGCCTTTTCTCATTTTTTTGCTCACTTGGTATCCAGACACTCCAAGGAATATTCTTTGTAGCCCACCAAAGTAACATCTATCCTCTGGTAAAGCTATTCAAAGAATTTCGGAAGGAAAGCTCGTGCTTTAGACTGGCATACCTTTACATTCCTTAAGGCCTTAGAAATATTTTCCTTCTTGGTAAAAAATGTGCAAGACCTACCAAAAAAGTAACTTATTGGCATATTGTGAGATGTAGAGCTCCAGTGTCCCAAAGATGGCATCAGACCAGCTTTGTGAAGTACTTCCATGGTGGTTAAGTTGGCTTACTCAGACTTGACCTGATTTCTTTTATACTGTTGGCCTGTGGGTCCCAGCTAAATGGGCATATTTTTCTGAAATTTTAAACATTTTCTGATGAAAAACATCTTTCTCTACATGCCTTAACTTGAGCTATATATTAAGGGATACAGAAAGCATTATTTTAATATGCGAGTAGTTATACCTCATGGTATGGAAGTATATTTTGAGCCACCAGCTCATTTAACTCATTAACATTGTCAAGGTTGGTAATACAGTTACCTACAGCCTTTTCATTTTTAATTCATGGGAATATGTTATTACCCTAGGTTTCACTTGAGAGTCAATAGACTTTTTTTCCTTGGCTACATTTTGCTGTATATCTCGCAGTCCCAAGTTTCTTATTCAGAAGCATTGGAATTTACATTTAATTCACATATCACCTCGTGCTGTTTTATCTTTGTCTTCTATAAAATGAATCAACAACAATAATAAAGCCCTATATCATTGTTTTCCAATAGAGTTCAGTTTAATAACATATACTATTGCCCATGCTACTCAACAAGAATCTTTGTTTCATTTTGCATGTTTATAGCCTGGATTCTGAAAACTCTGCAACTTGCCCATTGCTTAGAAAACTAGTGTATGTGTTAACTAAGGGAGTTTGGAAATATTTAGCCAGGGATTAAAGAAGAAAACTTAGCTATATCTTATACTGTAGCAGGGACAGTTTGGTGTTTATAATACTCCTCTTAGTTTATTTGCAAATCCTTTGTAATATATTTGTTAAGATTTTTCTCAGTGTTCTTTGAATTGGTTTGGAGGTTTGTGCAAGTTGCTTATTGACCATTGTATTTGCTGTATTAAAAGGTGAAGCTCTGGTTATTTCTTTTTATAATTTTCTCCACTGTTACTTGGGGTTAGACAGAGAAGATTGCCTCTGGAAATCATTGCTCCAAAAGGCAGATTCTTTACTGATTTGTAACTTGGAAGTACCGAGGTATCCTAGTCAGTTAGAGCTTTGCATCCCTGGTGGTAGAACTGGCTTTCAAGTTGTCAATAATGAAACGAATGTCTGTTACCAACCTCTGTGCAAGGTAGGCACTAAGGATTGCAAGGTGAAGAGAACAGTGGTTTGAGATGAGGGAGTTTTAAAGTCATTTTGTTTTTATTAGATGGATATCTAGTGAGTTAGGAATATCTGCCAAAAAATCCTAAGAATTTTGTATCTTAAATATTTCACATAGTCCATATAAGTTCAAACTCAGGGTTACCTCTTTGCACTTTTTTTTCTTAGAGATAACAATAGAGCTGAAATGGGAAATGTACACATGGATATCATTGGTTTGGATTCTGGTGATCTCACTCCTTTTTATTAGTCTGGATAATTAAGTGTTGTTTGCACTGTAGCTCCCAAAAAGGTAATTTGTGTCTTTGAGCCATAAATGGTTTGTAGCCTTTTATTGGCATTAAGGTTTCAGACTGTTTGGAGAATAGAAATTTCTTGTTTTGTGAATGGAGTAGGTAAAGATAGTCTGCCTTATAATGATAAGGTAAATGATAATTAAAACTAAAAGGAGATAACAGCTTTCTCTAGTAGACTGGCAAAAACAAACACTCAAAAGTGGGAGGGTAAGAGAAAGCACAGCACAGATGTTCCTTTCTTTGCAGCTGCCATGAGGCAGGCCCACAAGCTGGTGCTGTCTTCTGCCACCTGAACATTCCTCTTCATCTCTCACAGGCCCTTCATCTTTAAAACTTACTTGTTTCATCACCCCACCACCACCCTTTCTCTGCTTTTTGAGACCTGCTGCAGGTATGTTTTCTTTGTTGCTTTTTAGTGGTCCCAGGAGGATCATTTTACAAACAGCAGTTTCATACTAGAAGTCCTACTGTGGGCCTCCCCCTGTCCCTCACAGCTCTCTATATGAATATTTCTCTTGGGCACACTCATGTTTTGTCAGCTTCCACTATATACTAGCCAGATCCACAGATTCCATACATACTGAAGGGTTTAGTGTTACTTTTCATGCTTGGAGCATCATACCTTTAACTCATAGAGAACTTTGTCTCTTGCTAATTTTTTTCATAAAAATTACATATTAGCTTTTTCTTCTATTTAGTCATTTGCTTTTCAGTAGAAATTAAGTGTATTAATTGCTATTTATCCTAGTGTGTGTGTGTGTGTGTGTGTGTGTGTGTGTTTTCTTTTCATTGAATCATGTTTTGGTATCCATTATCTTTCCTCATAACTTTATGACACCCACACATTTAGGGAGCATGATGTTCTCTGTCTTTGTCTTAGTCTTAGTTTAACAAAAATGTTCATGGTATCTTTGAAAAACCTTGATTCACAAGATAAGTTAATCTATGCTAAGTTTACAGTAGTCACTATTAAGTTAATCTATGCTAAGCTTACATTAGTCACTATTTGGGGTATGATTTTTAACATACTATATTTTTTATTAAATTTTCTATCTTCTGGTCTCTGTCTGTTTATTTTGACCTCATGAGAGTGTTAACTGGTAAGAAAAAGAAAATTTTCTAAGGAAGATTAGCTTCAAATAAGTTTGGTGTCATCATAATATCAGCCCATTCTATTTGTCAGTGGTGGGGCTTGAACTCTGGGCCTGGGTGCTGGCACTCAGCTTTTCAGCTCAAGGCTAGCTAGCACTCTACCACTTGAGCCACAGCACTACTTCCGGTTTTCTGGTGGTTACTTGGAGATAAGAGCCTCATGGGCTTTCCTGCTCAGGCTGGCTTTGAACCAACGCGATCCTCAGATCTCAGCCTCCTGAGTAGCTAGGATTACAGGGTGAGCTACCGGCTCCTGGCCGGTATATATATCAAACTGTATATAGTATTTAGTATACTGTATTGAGTATAGGAAGCATCAAAGTCTAACTTTTGATGATTCTAGAACTTTTTTATTTATTTAAAAGTCTCTATTTCCAGACTTATATGAGTTAGAGACCATGATATACCCTGAAGACTTTAGATACTTACCATTAAAATCAAGTGAGGAATTTCTCTTAAGTCCTTGGCCACTTTTTCTTGAACACTCATGTTCTGAAGTTTTCCTTACCACACAGTCTTTCTGTGAATATTTAAGAAATAATTTCTAGTTTTTAATGATCTTAGCCTTTCAAATTGTTTCACCCCACGGAGTCTCAGTTACTGCTTTGTGATTTTGGAGAATCTACTTTCCTCAGGTTCAGGGGATATAGTCTTTGTAGTCTTTGCTTTGCTTTCACCAAGAAGAACATGGTTACATTCATTTCTATAAAACCTTAAGTTGCAGTTTGGAGAGGTGGGTGGAAGTGGAAGAAATTTAAAGCACAGGAAAGCAAGAGAAAAAGAAATGTTCTCGGTTTTAAGTGGAATTAGTATTAGTGCTCAACCAGCACTAAGAAAATATAGAAGTTTCTCAGCAAGAAATGTATAAATCATCATATATTTGTTGTGTATTTCTTGGCTCTGAGATCTTAGAAGGAAAGGCCATTGTGTTCCTTTGCCCTGAGGACATTCTAGCAGTATTTGCATGCATTTTAAAGAAATAGGAACCATTTCCTCACTTTGTCTTGTCATTGCTTATAAAAAGGCCTTTGTTTTACAGATCATTAATGTCTGACATCAAGAGTACTTGTTGGCACAAGGCTACCTTTTTCACAGTTAAAACTTTTAATATATGTAGTAGTCAAGCAACCTGGCAGCCAGTGCCCCTAGAGCTAAAGCCTTGGTTTCTGTCCAATCAGCAGTGGCTTATTTTGCAGAGAGTGACTGCCTTGTTTATAAGTATCTCTTGTAGCCTTGTTTCCCTTGTAAGTTCTTAAATATTCTCTTGGCATTGGTCTAGTGGTTATTTGTATTGATAGTACATTTTATAAAGAGTTAAATTCAGCAATGTTACCTGTTGTCTGAAGATGTAACAATAAGAGTTGTCTTTGAGGATAGGTCTACTATTTCTCTACTATGGTGTCATCCATGTAAGATAAATTAAATAGGTAGGTTTAATTAAGTAGCCAGTAAAGAACACCATGTTGTATTCCGGCAGGAAGAGAAGTTTAATTAATTTTATTAATTTATTTATTTCTATTTGTCAGTGGTGGGGCTTGAACTCTGGGCCTGGGCCCTGGCCCTCAGCTTTTCAGCTCAGCTAGCTTCAACTTCAGCTAGCACTCTACCACTTGAACCACAGCACCACTTCTGGTTTTCTGGTGGTTAATTGGAGATAAGAGCCTCATGGGCTTTCCTGCTCAGGCTGGCTTTGAACCAACGCGATCCTCAGATCTCAGCCTCCTGAGTAGTTAGGATTACAGGTGTGAGCTACCGGCTCCTGGCTAAGAGAAGTTTATTTTACCCTACTGCTGTCCCTGCCATGTATAGTGGCTGAAGGGGTGGGCTGAGGTCTGGCCTGGGTTTAAGTAGGGAAGGGGTGGAAAGGAGATGCAGCCTGGTGAGGGAAGGTGTGGCCACACCACATGCAGATGTGGGATGTGACCTCAAGGCCTGGGCCCCTCCTACAGTTCAATGGAGGTTGTGATGGGAGCCCATGATGTGACTTGAGAGGAGGGGGAGGTAACTACCAGTTACCTAGATGACACAGGTACTGGGTGGAGACTTAGCCAAGTGGAGGGAGGAGACCGCTCTGCCAACTCAGGACAGACCTTACAATCAGAACTTGCATATTAAAAAAT